ACTGACCCATCTTAGTAGAGCTCTCTCATGTAATATGGAATTGAAAGCAATATGGAGCTAAAAGCAGATTTAAGAGATGAGTACCGAAATTCAAATTGAAGTCGAGCTCCTTTAAGTTCTTCAAATTTTTCAACCAACAATGGCAATGCTTTTTCTGTTAAAAATCGACTTGTTTCATCTCCTGAAGAATAAACGAGAAACTCTTTTAAGGATGTTACTGTTTGTGTTTATAGTATTTATTTTATTATCTAAAACTACAGTAAAGCTCAGCAAACCTGTTTATATAAAGACATGTTGATCTGAGGCTGGTCCCTAGGAATGATTACAAGTACCAAGCTTAACTTATTTTTTATTTTACAATTTGCATTTTTTCTTTCTACTCCTACTGTGTCTCAATGATCAAGCACAACTCAGGATACAGTCATGAAAAACAATTAGTTTTTGCCAAACTGGAGCCAGGCCCCATAGTAAGTGTTGTCGTGGAGGCCCCTTTAGGTGCAGCATGGCTGCATAGTGCAGAAGGCTAGTGCCTCGCGGCCCCTAGGATTAACTTCAGGTTGTGGTAACCGGCCTGGGTGGAGTTTGCATGTTTCCCCCATATTCACTTGGGCTTTCGCGAGGTGCTCCAGCTTTCTTGCCCCTCCTTACAACATACATGTTGAGTTTCATTAACTGATCAATCAATCAAATCAATCACTCCATCACTGAATCACCAAATCACCCAATCTAGTACAGCACCTTTTGCAACACTTTGCCGCAGAATGGCGGTTAACAATACAGTGTAATAACAGATGGCCAACTGGAAAGGATGAGAGGAACAGTGGGAGTAAATAAACTACAGGGAATCCCAGGCCCACTGGTTGTTCCCCTGCAGGCACATTAATTATAATTGATGATGCCCTCCCCTCCTGGGTCGGTCGTCATGGTAATCCAAGTGATTATAGGATGTAAATTTTCCCTTTCCAGGAGGGGTTACAAGAGGATGTCATACTTTGGGGGTTTGCCAGAACAGCCACTATTAGCTATTGTACTGTAAAAAAAAAAATAGAACCAAATTAGCTCAATGAGTTGAATGGCTTCTCATTTGGGGCCATTTTGATGTTCTCCATGTCAAAGTTTCTCGTTTTATTAGAGGGAGACTGAGCAGTGGTCGACCATTCTGGGTTTCCTGACTGGGTTCCTGAACTCTCACTGGCTGGGATGTGGAGAAGTAGATCTCCCCCACCGTCTCCATCTAACTGAGCCAAACTCCAAAGCTCTTACAAGCTACATGAGCCCAGATCAGCCAAGGAGATACAGAGAGCATCGCCTGCCATTGTCAGGGCTTTCTCAGCTTGTCGCTCTATCAGCAGTAGGTGAGAGATTTACAGCTCCTGAAGTAATCCAAATTTTAAAACATTGGCTTACACAAAACAAAAACAGAAAATCCTTTGTGCTTGCTTCAGAAAACAGTTTTTTGTCCCTCCCTCGAGATAAATAGTTATTCTGTTTTTATGGATGCTTTTTCAGAAGTGGCTAGCACTAGAAGTTACACGTAAGACACGCAAGAGACAAATCTGCAAAAAACTGTGTAAAATAAGACTATATATTACCTGTGCCCATCAATACTAAATGTACATACTGTATAGTTGCACAGTGGCTGGTATTTGTTTTTACAGCATTACGCTGTGTCCACAGTCCACAGTTTTTTATGAAATGTAAGCAAAGCCATTCATAAAACACTTTTTTATAATGACAGTGCTCAAATCAAAACTATTTGGGGGTAATAATCGTAATTTCTTACTGGGTGTTTTCTAATTCAATATTTTATGATTAATTATAAATTAATGGTAATTCATTATCTCTATATATAAATAATTTAATTAATTATTGTATTTTTTGTTTTAGAACTGCATTCAATAATATATTGGTTTCTAACTTCAAGAATTTATAATGCTGTGATACAAAAAACAAGATCTTTATCTAGCACACACACATACTGTATATAAAGTATATATATATTGTATATGGGAAGTTACTTTAAAATAGATTGTATTTTATATTTCTTATTTTTTAGACTGACATGGAAATCTCTCTACTGGCTAACGTTGTTTAGATATGCCATTTGTCTGTCCGTCCTATGTCGGGTAACTGAGTGCTTGCATCTAAATTCTAGGAGTACTGGAAACAAAATAGGCGAGATTGAAGTTACCACAAGAAGTGTAATTTCATCAAGAACAGGAAGAACGTCTTTACACAAAGTGTTGTGGGAGCCATTGGAGTCGATATCCTAGTTTCTTTTAAAAAAACAGCTGGATGAGATCCTTGAATCAGGTCATTACTAACTGCCAAATGGGCAACATCGGTTCAATCGGCTCCTCTTGCTTGTAAACTTTTTGCGTTCGATATGTTATTAAGCCCTTCCCTAGAAATAAAATATCCCACTGTGTGATACAATAAGACATACGGAAGCTTATTTATGCCACTGGGAAAAAACAAACAAACAAACGTTGTTTATACGAGATAGTATTGCGTTTGTAAGAGAAAATCATTACGTTTAAATGCAATAGTTAATTTGTGAACAATGCCCCCAACTATATGAATATACTGCATTATACTGTATATACAATAATATTGTCCCATGCAAAGTAGCATTGGCTTTAACAACAGTAGAATATTGTCACACTCTGATATTTGCAAAAAAAATCTAAAGGAACACAATGTTCTGTCTTTCATATACATGAGGTACAATGGTAAGCATTCCCGGGTTAAACGGGAATTGTTTTTGACCGCTTCTGTGACAAGCAGAAATGACACGGCTTTCCAAGCGCATGTTATTCTTGATGTGAAACTGCAAAAACATGTCCTGTACATAAAATTTGCCTGCTCTTTAAGCATTGAATGGATTACATTTGACGACTTGATAGTAAGATGAATAAGCTTCTGTCGAGACAGCCAAAAGACCACGCAATATTAAATTTAACATCATTTCTTTTCCATACAAGCATGTTATCCTCATTAGAAGAGACAAGAACCATCAGTTATATTGAGTACATGACAACTTAATCAGCATATCAATGTATGAAAGCATTTATGTGCATCAGAACTGAAAAAAAAATGTTTAGTCTGTTTGATGGGTTCCAACATGTGCACCTGAGGGCATTGTTTCAAAGTCATTTTTATGTGGCCTTCGCCGAGTTCAAAGCAGCACCACCACAAGAAAAATGACATCTGTGCTTATTTTACTGAAGCCATGCAATGGCACATGGGACTGGACATGCCCCGAGTTAATGGCACATCTATAAGAAAGGTATAGGCATCTTTCAGGCCATTGAGGGTTCGGTTATTTGTCCTTGCCAATGTGCACAGTCTGTGGTTCGGTAAACGACAGGAGACATGTACGTTTCTGATCTGTATCTCAACCACAAATTGGACCCCAGGAGAGAGGCAGGCAGCACAAGGGTGGAAAAATGTTTAGATGTCAAATAGCCCTTAAAAAATTACATCCCTCCTGACGCTGATGCTTTCTTTACACATTAAAAGGACTCCAATTTTTCAGCTGAAATGAGCCTTAAAAACACACAGATCCGTGCTTTTCATTTATGTATAATTAATGGTTATTTTTTAACATACTTGGTAGTTGCTGACCTTGGATAACCTCCCTGAGGCACTGCATTTTTCTTCCTCCCCCCCAAGAACTTTATCTGCCTTTTGTGGCGGTCTCTAATGGGGTTCATAACTGAAAAGTTGACTCTGGTGTTAACCTGATGATGTTATTCACTGTGAAAAGTGCTCAACAAAGCATAAACCATAAGAATTTTATGAAAAAGAAAGCCTGGTACTGTAGGATGAGATGCAGAAGCTTTTCTTAAGTCTGCCCTGCACAGAATCAACTGTTATTTCACACAGGGCTCAGTTTATTTGTGTTGTAAAAGGTCATTAACTGCAGCCATATTTTCCACAGCAACCACTGTGTAAAAGTGACTTAGGTGGTGCTCTATTAATGACAAACACAAATGTGTGGGCTACAGTCATTCCCATGAGACTTCTGTACACACTAGGAAACCAGTAAGCAAAAGAGACATTAAACAAGCACAAACCCAAGCCAATACCTCAGATCACCCCCAATTATTGTATAACATTAATTTATTCCCTCACAGCTTGGTTAACTCAGCCCGTGAGTGCAATAAAACTTAACTGCTGCCTTCTTAGGCCTTTCTGTTAGCGTGTTTGTTGTGCAAGTGTGAGTATGAGCATTCAAGAGTAGGGGTGATGGTGCTCATATGGTGTTACCTTTTATGTGCGTTTGAGGATCTGGAAGAGTGGGGTATGTTTTGTGCAGAGCATAGGAGTGAAGGAGCCTGGCTGTGTCTGTATGAAGGGTGTGCCTGTGGTAGCAGTTTGCCTGTTTTTTTGTTTTGGCCTGGTCATGCGAGAAAATCTGGGGCTCCTGGGCTGTTCAACAATAAAGGCTTCTGATTTTGAAGGCAGGGCGGGTCCATTCGTACGAGATTCGACAAGTGAAGCCATATCCCAAGAGCTTCCGTTCTGACACCCTATGGAAGAGCTCCATTTGGGGGTACCTTTTGGGCTGATTCTATAGTCCGGCGGGACCCGAGCACAGCTGAAGTGTTTTTGTGACAAATGTATCTCTTTTTTTGGAGGGGCTCAAAGTGCAGAGAACAAGTGTTTAACCTGACAATGCACTTTTTGACTTTATCTGTCCTGTATGAAGGTTGTGGCAATGAGCCAAACCGATTAAGAATTCACTAGTTCAAACTAGACATTGGGTGGGTGGAAAGAGAGGTTGAAATGAATTGAGTCCAAATGAAAAAAATAAAGTTGAATCAGTCATGTATAGTAAGGATGTTGCGTTTGTAGTCTTCAAGCAATCTTCAAGTGAAAAAGGATACTGTTACTCGGTGCCCATTAAAAGCTAATAAAATCGCATAGCTGTTGTTTTGCCAGACCCTCAAGGGAAGGGAGGAGAAAATGGAGGAGAAGAAGCAGTCATACAGTACCTGGGTCTTTATGATGTCATCATCTCTGTGGATCTGCAGCACGTATCCACGGTTACAGGTCACTGTGCAGCGGGCTCCATTGATGTAGCTTGGGCTGCTGCAGTTGAGCTCTGCATTTCTGATAAGGGGTTCTTGGCAGTCAAAGGCTTCACAGACATAATGAACACAACTGGAAAAAAAAAAAAGAGACATTTTTTAGACCAAAAAAAGTATCTTAGTGGTTGAAAAATATAGGACACTATTAGGTGGCATTAAAATTGGACATTTCTAAGAGTAACTGCAATTATTTCTGAAGAAAAAAAGGAGAAAAAGGGTGTGCTGAGATTAGGGACATTATCTTGCATGCTTCCTCTGTCTTCACAGTTGTATCTAGCTCATTGAGTTCACTATACTAGAAATAAACCATTTCTTAAAATTCAACAGTCAACATTTCACTTATTACGTCAGCAGGTTTATATCAATATAATGTCTAAAATGCTTTCAGTGATAATATTACATAATTGGTCATTTTCAAATTATTAAGACTGTTGCATATACTGTGTTGATGGTTGAATATTAAACTGTCTTGTCTTGTTGCCCAATCCAAGCTTTAATTTCAGGGCATCAAAATCCAGAACTTCTTGATCCCAGTTTCTGCTCCAGCTGAGGTCTTGATTATTTAATTGAAACCCACATTTAACTCACAATGTTTTAAAAGTAAATTTTTTCAACTGTTTTCATCTCGGCGTCTGGGACACGTTTTAGATTTACCGATGCAAACGTGTAACTAGAAAGCTGCTGGTTGCAAAAACCAGAGAACAAAAAGATGTAATCAATCACTTTATTAGTTCATTTAGGGGCTCAAGGGATCATCTGAAAGTCCAAATGGTATGAAAACCAGCAGACTTTGTGTTCACAGGATTTAGGATTGGAACGCCTTCCCCGCAAGAAGAAATACCTGTCGGAATCCACTGGAATTCATGCTGTTTTCGCAAAGTCCTACAGTGACATAAGTGTGTTATTTGAGTCGTGACTACAGTGACTACCAAATTTGCCAATGACAGCATTCATCTTCCAGGAAAAGGTCAGTTCGTTGATCAATTCCTTTCAACAACAAACATAACACCTGGGGAACCTGGGCATAACAAATCTAATAGATTACTGCCGCAAGCTATGGCCTGTTTATTTAATGTCTACTTTTCAATTAGTAAGCCTTTATATTTAAGTGTTCCAGCACAGGAATGTAAAGGGAAAAGCTGGTTTGAAACAAAAATGATTAAACTGTTGTTAATACCAAATTGCAGTTCAGCATATTAACATAACATATTATGATAATTTGTCCAAAACATCTTAATAATGTCACCAGTACTAATTATGCAACTTCATATTGCAACTACTAAGTGAAGACTCCTAAGCCACTAAAGTTGCCTTCAGCAGATGCAGAGATGAATGAATCACATACTGTATTGCTTACAACAATAATCATGCTGTACAATGCTGGCTAACTTGCAGTAGCTAGCGCTATTTCTAATAATCTCTCCTACTCTTTATAGACAAATTTATGTATACCTGCTCAATGGTACACCATATTTAACAATCAGGTACGGAGGACCTGAAATTCTATTTGAGAAAGTAGACTCTTGTTGCCTACTGATCTTTTTTTTTTTTCAGTTAATTCCAAGACCAAAATGTTTCTACACACACAGTCAGTCAAATAAGCACCCCTGCATTTGGCCCTAATGGATGGCATTTTTTGTGATTTAGACACTGAGAGGGGACTGATTTTTGAGACAGCTATAATTATTATAAAATGAATACAATGTGCTCTAAACTGTAGCTATCTCTAGTCTAATCTTTTCTCTTTGTATGTAGTTCAGAATGTGTATTATCGATGAATCGCTGACCTGTTGGTTTTTTTTAAAATGTGTCGAGATCTGTGTCCTTTAAATCAGAAAATCTTGCCTATTTCTATTTAGGAAGTGCTATTCTAGCATTTGGTATTCCATGCTCATTTGTGTCGCTTGTAGCTCTTGAACCACTGTTGCAATCGGAGTCCAGTTTTCACATCTGCATGTGAGCACAGGAAACATGCTTTGGCTGAACACCTTCTTACCACACAGTGGTAGTTTTCCTTTCAGGAATTTAATCCCTCTCTTTATTTCTGTAATGCATTTCATTCTATTTCAGCTCTCCTTTTCATTTTACACATCTGTTTTTCATGCTATAATCAAACTGTCCTATCCATACCTGTTAATATCTTCAAACTTAACACCATTACCTTCAATCTTCACACTGTAGATAATGTTACTTGTTAAACACATTTGTCATATAGTGTACTGTTTTTAGTAAATACTGTATAACATACTGTATATGAACAAACTGTTTAAGGATGGTCATTGAGGACCAGTATGTAGGGTTTCTTGGTCTATTTAAAACAGGAGCATCTGACAAATTGTGAGATAACTGCTTGAATAATAACCTGATTTGGGTAATTAAGAGGTGAGTTGGACTGAAAACCTGCAGATGCAATAGCACTGCAGGACCAGAATTTCCCAGGTCTGCTACAGTATATCTTTACACATACAGTATACCAAGAATAGCATATGGAAAGGGTAGTCCTGCTTTGTTTGGACATATACTGTACATGAAAAGCAGAAGGATACAACTGTTAGAGACAAAACGGTATGATGTGTGACAGAGACATGGGTAAAAAAAAAAAGCAGCATGAATTAATTGTGGATAAGTACTCAGTTCTGAGAGCTGTTGACAAGAGACTCCAAAGGCTTGTTGCTGTGTTACACCTCTCACCTGCTCTTACCTTGAAATTGGGATTAAAAGGTTTCATGTGTCTTAGCCTTATTTATGGCTGCGAACTCTGGAAGCAACTGGTATATAAATATGTATGTAATAATACTGTATATTATAGTTAAGTACTATACAATTTACATTAATCTCCGGATAAAATGTTTCTGGGAACCAAAATAGCTGGTATAAAATAGTGACCGCCTGACTTCATTCAGTTCCAAGAAAGGCTTTTCTGTGCTATTTTCGTTCTTTTTCTTTCTCTTGTGTTGCCAACATAAATATTGTTCAATGGCTATTGTACAGATACTTTTTTTTAATAAAGTTGTATTGGGCAGGGCAAGGGAAAACTAAGAAACTAAGGCTGGTTTGTGTGTGTGTACAAGATGACAGATCTTTTCACTGCAGAGCCATACACAGGCCTAGTCTGGATTACAAGTTGGTCATATGGTGGTCCCCACTCCTTTATCAGTTTCAATAAAATGTCTACAGATTAAACTAGGTGATGAAGGAGAATACTTAAGCCTCTAATGAAAGACCAAGACGGACTAAATGTTTTGTTCTTTTTTGATAAGTGTTTTAGACAGCTACAGCATTAATCAAAACAAAACATACTAGGGGCTAATACTGTCCTGAAGTGTTTACACTGAGGGGGAAATATTACAGCAAAAGACGCAATCTTATCCACTTCTATGGGAGGATTGGTCAGGGCTCGGGGCTGGAAGGTTATGGGTTCAACTTCCAAGTGGGGTAGGGCATTGTTGTTGTACCCTTGAGCAAAATTGCTCTCTCCAGGAAACATGCCCCACTGTATAACAGGGTAAAAAATTAATAAAAGCACTGCTTCTGGTTTACAGCAAACATCTTATTTAGATACATCTATTAACCTGTGTTGCTCTCAATGAGAGTATGTATGTAATATTACATGCAGTTATACTTATCATGCATTTAAGAAACTTGATAAAATGCCTTGTGTTTTTTTCTGTTGAATACTAGCTGCAGAAGGTTATTAGTAATTTGTTTTCCCACTGTCCACAGTACAGCGTTGAACAACTTAGCTTTCACATATTAAGAGAATTTAGTGTAGTTCCAGGCACAAAACAGGGTTTAACATTATTACTGTGTTTCAAGACAAGAAACAGATGACGGGTTGGACGTTTTAAAGCTCCAGGTAACAGAGATTTAGCAGTATTTCTAAGAAATACCACGAGATCACTCAGCTCCAAAATGAGATGGATAATACTGGTTTAAAAAATGAAATCTGTTTGCTTGTCAAATTCTGTGAATGTTTCAATCTGTTTAGACAAAATGTAATAAACAACTGAAGTTTCTGAAGTCTTGAAAGAAACGAGCAAAAGCTACAAGAAATAATATTTACACAAAGGGCTTCAGGATGTGAAAAGACAAATGGGAAAGAGGCTGGGGGATGTTTCTGGACCAAGGTGAGGAGGAACAGCTGGCCAAAGGGAGGCAACAAATTAAAATCACACAATAGAAGGGAATTGTAAATGAAAATCATCTTTTGACTGCTGCAATGTTATAGCTGTGCTGCCCTCAGTTATCACACTGTCAGCAAAAATATAGTTTTATACTGCTTTAAGATGTTTTTATCAGCATATATCTGGGTAAGTAGGCATTGTACATCGTAGTTTAGCACTGACATCAAACAGCATGAATGTATCAGGACCAATCTAAAGAATAAGCTTCTATTCCTACCTTATAATAAAGGGTCAACATACTAGTGAGTCATTACAGTCTGCAGTCCCCTGCTTTCACTACCTAAATACGTGGGACCTCAAGAGAACATGTGGGCTTTCTTCTGTCTAGTAAAGATAGGGTCTAACATATTAAGATCCATCTCAGTTAATTAGTCCACTGATCTAATACACATTCCTTGTGAAAGAGGTATGGAATGTAAAAGAAGCTAACAGATATACAGTACAGTACTATAAGCAATTTTATTTTAAAGGTGAGATGGTGTACCATGACATCTCCATCTTCTGAAGAGTTTGGTTACTCACGGTCTCATCATAGATGTTTTATTTTGTGTGGCACAAGGAGGAATATGAGTATTTTATCCTCTAGAAACAACTTCCAGAGTCTCTACAAATTGTATAAAATGTTCAGACCAGACTGCACCACAGCTTGGAAATTTCACATGTCTGAGCTTGGGCTGAGCCACACATTGAAAGATCCCTCGAAAGTAGTTATGGTTTGACTGAATGATTGACCAGACATGAGAATGTGGCTGAATGCCTTGCTCTCCCTGCAGTAATGGGGCTGGGAGGTGCTTCCTTCCTTTATAAAAGCCAGATAGTCAGAAACCTTTATAGTGCAGTAGGCACAAGATTCTGTCTTCACATTTGTAGTATTTCAAATATTTTGAAG